ATTAGAATTGCTTTTGCTATTCTGGGTCTCTTCTTGTTCCAAATGAATTTTTGGATTGTTTTCTCAAGGTCCATGAAGTATGGTGCTGGGATTTCAATTGGAATTGCATTGAATCTATATAGCAGTTTTGGAAGTATGGTAATTTTCACTATGTTGATCCTTTCTACCCAGGAGCAGGCGATATCTTTCCATTTTCTGATATCCTCTTCAATCTCTTTTTTAAGAGTGCTATAGTTTTCAGAGAAGAGGTCTTTGATTTCTTTCGTTAGGTTGATTCCTAGGTATTTCAGCATTTTGGATGCTATTGTGAAAGGAATTCTTTGCCCTATTTCTGTCTCAGTGAAAAAAGACCACATTTTTTAAGGCCTCCATGGCTGTTGCCTTTTAAGTTTTTGAACATTCTGAAGAAGTGATTGAACTTTTTTTTTCTTAATGTACACAGAACACCTTAGTCAAATAGCCTTTTTTCAGTAGCCTTCATGTACTTTTCCCCCCATGCATACAGAGAAAGATTGTCTATGTTTTCTTTTAGTTTCCTGATATAGGCATTTACTATAGTACTTTTCTGAAAATTCTGGGTAGTTTTTCTTCACTATCAGCTCTAAAGTAATAGGAAGAAGATAATATTTCATTTACACTTGTAAAAATTGGGCCCACATTTTTCAAATATGATTCTTTGGCTTGAGAAAACTGAACTAAAATTTAAAATAACATTATTGGCATTAGGATATCCAGTAGTATAAATAACCTGTAATTTGTCAGTACACTCTTACTAAGATTTTGAACTCTGCTCCTTTCAGATCTTAGCTGAACCACGCAGTGAAATAACACATTAATTATTGGTGTGCCCTGTTCCTTTCTTTCTGTAACTATGAAAGTACCTAATCCATCATTGGAAAGATTGGAATGATGTACGTAAAGTATTTATCATACTGCCTCATATATTTTTACTTTGAAACTTTAAAGATTAATGCTTTTGTTCACAATATATTGTCTTTTTAAAAAAGCATGCTTTTTTCTTCAGTATCCTAATTGATTGCAAAGTTACTTTTTTTATATCCCTAGCCCCCTTTTTTATACAGCATCTTATATTTTTTTCGAATTTTTAATATTTTTGTTAGTATATGTTTACAATACATGATTACATTTCTTGTGGAAAGTTGGTATGTATATATGGCACATCTTAATTTTTTTTAATCCCCTTTCCCTTCCATTTCTTACCCCTCCCTGTATCTCTTGATTCCCTTCCTATTTGAGAGACATCTATCTCCTTCCTATTATCTAACTTTTATGTTGCTCTTCATTTATATTTTGAGTTTCTCATATAAGAGAACCATGCAACAGGACCCTGGATAGCTCAGTCAGAAGAGAACCAGGCAATATTTAAGCTTAGCTGAATTATTTCATTTAACATTGTGGTTTCAAGATGTATCTGTTTTCCTACACATGACTCAAGTTTATTCTCCTTTATGGTAGAGTAGTACTCCATTATGTTTACTTACCACAGTTTCTTTATCCATTCATCTTTGTCCATATTGGTAGACATACAGGCTGGTTCCAAGATTTAACTATTATGAATTGTGCTGCTGTAAACATGGGTATGCATCACTGTAATATATCTTTAACTCTTTTGGGAAGATACCTAGAAGGGGAACAGCTGGAACTAAGAGAATTTCTACTTTTAATTTACTGAGAATTCTCCATACTGGTTTCCATAGTGGTTGTAATAGTTTAGTTTATATTCCCACTAAAGTAGAAGGGTTCCTTTTTCCTTGCAGCCTTGCCAGCATTTGTTATTATTTGATTTTTTTTTTTTTTTTTTTTTTGTACCGGGGATCGAACTCGAGTCCTTGGGCTTGCATAGCGGGCAGTGAAACCACTGAGCTAAATCCCCGGCCCCATTATTTGATTTCTTGATGATAGCCATTCTTTCTGGGGTAGGATGGAATTTCAGTGTTTCAATTTGCATTTCTCTAGTAACTAGTGATGTTGAACATTTTTTTGTTTGCCCCTGTGAGACATGTCTGTTCATTTCATTTACCTATTTTTTGATTGGGTCTTTTATTTTTGGAGTCTAATTCTTTTGAGTTCTTTATTCTAGATATTAATCCTCTTTCTGAGGAATAGCTAGCAAAGATATTTTTCCCATTCTGTAGGTTGTTTCTGTACTCTGGTGGTTGTTTCTTTTGCTATGCAGAATCTGTTTTATTTGATATGATCCCATTTGTTTATTCTCGGTACTGGTTCTGATTGCAAAATTATTTTAATCTGTAATTTGTTACCCATGATAGATACATTAGTATATTTGAATGCTTTGGAGTTACTAGATATTCTGGATTATTATTTGAGAATAGTTTACTGTTAGAATTCTTCAAATTTAGTAGCTATGATAGATATATTAGTATATTTGAATGCTTTAGATTTACTATATTCACAGTTACTGTTTATCAGAATAGATTTTTAAAAATCTCTTAATTAGTATTAAGGCTTTCATACTGTCCTTGAATTGGGAAAAACAACAGGCCTACATGAGTTAGCCCACATTTTAGAGCTTCAGAAAGTAAAATTTTAGTACTGGAAAAAATCAATTTAAGCCATCAGAGACTTACCACTAAAATTTCAACCTGGAAAGAACTTGCTTCTAATTATGTTTTCAGAAGTAAGCTTTTAATAGAAAGAAATACATTGCCATTTTGTTAATGTTTTCCTGATGTTTTTGTATCCATTGAATTACAGGATACATGACAGAATTCTATCCAACATTATTATTGTGGCACAAAGCACAAACAGGAAAAAAATGAACTTCAGCTGTTTGAGTTAAAATGTAAAAGTGTGAGAAGATGGAAAGAATGTCCTCAACCACTTTTTATTCATTTAGAGAAAAATTTTTTTTTTACTTAACCTATTTCTTTCCGTATCACCTTTTTGTAAATGTCAGAACAATGTGTTAACTTTGATGTTTCACAGATACTTGCTTAGTAATGTAAGGTATTTTGGGTGACCAACTAAGTTAGCCACAGGTTATAGAAGAGAAGGATTTTGTTATTCTGCTTCTAAATTTTCCTCTACTAGAGACTTTAAGCCAATTCAGTAAGTCTGCATGTTTTACATTAAAACCCAGTTCCTAATTTATAGCTTTGACTTGGAGACTTATAATGGAAATGTAGAACAAACAAATTTGATATATTAGTTTTCTTTGATATGTGTTGTCTGTGAATTTTATGCTGTTGCTTTGTATTCTAATTATTTTTTCTAAAACTATGAAATGGAGGTACAAATATTTTTCCACACAGTAAAATTAATTGAATTCATTGCTGATTTTTTACCATTTATATTACCAAGATCCTTAAAAATGCTTATTCACAGTGAAATGAAAAAGAACTTAGAATCTAGAGTTATAGTATAAGCAACTTACTTATCTCTTCTTTCTGAAAAGCTAAGTCTATGTACAAAATTCTCTGCAATAATATTTAGACTCCTTTCATTGAACAGAACATTTTTAAAGCTACTATGCTGAACAGCAAAGGACAAAAAGAAAGCCAAAATGCCATTTTTATTGTCTTGCAGCTTGTAGGGAAGAGAAGTCCAAGTATGTTATGTAACTGGAAAATTATTTTGAAGTAATGATTTAATTCAATAAAAAAGGCAATTTCCAAATAAGCTATTATGACAGTGCTTACATTACAACTGATTTTATTATATTCAGTGCCTGGATCTTTCATTTTATTCATGTAATATTCAGAAGTTTAAGCCTAATTTTGATATCCTGGTTGTAGTATGTCAATTTTTTTACAAGGCTGTTGGAGTTGTGATCTAAATACTGAAAATAGAAATGATTTTTTTTCTGTGTATTAAATGAAATTTTTTTTTTAAGATAATGATGAAGTCAGTGGAGAAGATGATGGGAAAGCAAAGAAAAGTCAGAAGGATGATGAAGAACAAATTGCTAAATACAGGCAGCTCTTGCAGGTTATTCAAGAAAAAGAAAAGAAAGGCAAAGAAAATGATATGGAAATGGAAATTAAGTGGGTTCCAGGTACGAATTAGGTACTATCTAAATGATTTCTTGTTTTTCTTCATTTGGGGTTGTTGAATGTGTTTTAGATGTGAAGGTAAAGAAGCTTACTCTTCTTTGGAAATATGTTTTAAAAATCCCATCTTGCAGAAGGAATTTGGTAAGGAAATTAACTCACTTTGGGACTAGCATGTAGATTCTTGCCAGTTTACTCTTAGTTTCTTTGACTTACTACCTACAAATTATTTCTGTGAAAGTAGATCTTTGCTAGGTTTGATTTCTATATTCTCAGAATATAGCAACTTGAATTGAGGCACCATTGTTCTAAAATTATGCTGCTTTTCAAAATACGTAATTCTCCAGTGATCTTTCATAATCCCTCTTAGTCTTTAATTTGTAAGATTTCACTAAACACAAAATATGTATTACCTGGTCTTCCATTCCCATCTCACTTTTGCCGTCAAAGAAATATGGCATAGTAGAGTACTTATAGTACTAGTACAATGCTAATTAAAACAATGTCAGAACTAAACAAAGATAAAAGCTGGGATAAACAAGGATTGTTCTATAGCATACACATGGTTTTGTTCAACAGTCCTAGGCAAATTAGCATGTAGTTTTGCAACCAATACTGTTCTTTCAAGATTACTGCTGTTTACATACAGTTTTCCCTGAGTATCCTTGGGGTATTGGTTCAGAACTCCCCACAAACAGCAAAAATCTAAACATGCTCAAGTCTTTTATATAAAGTGGCCTAATACTTGCATATAACATGTATGCATCCTCTTGTATTCTTTAAATTGTTTCTAGATTGCTTATGATACCTAATACAATTGTAAATTTTATGTAAAAATGTTGTTGTACTATAGTTTTTAGGGAATAATGACAAGAAACAAAGTCTTCACATGCTTAGTACAGACACAGTTTGTTTGTTTTTTTTAAATTTTCTTTAATCCACAGTTAGTTGAATCTGTGGCTGCAGAATTCATAGATAATAAATTTTTGTCCCTGTGTTAATGAGGAATTTTGATGTCTGATTTTCTTTTCTTACAGTATTCTTGCTATCAGTACTGCTGACCTCTAAAGTGAAGTACACTTCTATTTAGCAGTACATTTTTACCTTGAATTTTTTATTTGTGGATATAATGTTAATATAATGTATTTTGAAAATTCTAAATGAAAAATTATCTATAATTTTAGTACCTTTATTTAACCACTGCTTAGGTGGATTACAGTTTAATTTACCATTTTTATGTTGTCAAATATTTATCCATATTTCTAATCTTTTACTATAATAGACCTATGGCATTTCAAAGAGATACAACAGATTCCAATCCCACATATATCAGTCATTTCTTAGATCTCTTTACTTTTTATCACCAAACTGGCTGGATTTTTAGGACTTTTTAAGTTTAAAAACTTTTTAACACAGATGTTTTTCCATTTTCCCCACTTTAGAAATACTTTTATGGATGTGAAGACTAGTAGGAACCAACTAGGCCATAGTGAGAAGCAGATGCTGGCAGTCAGGCTAATGTAGTTAACGTGACTTCCTCCCTCACACAGCAACTTTACATATGCTGTGGATCAACCTGTGGTTCTCTTACAAACTGTTAAAACTACCAATGTTAAAACCTCAAATATTAAGTCTCAGATGCCAAATATCTAAGATATTATAAATAATCTGTAGCTTTTTTCATAACTTGAATTATTTCTATAGGATAACTTCCCAGAAATAGAAAAACTAGGAAAAGACATGAATACTTTTTGTGTCTTGAGGTTATGACCAAATTTTTTTTTCCAAAAATACTACACTAGCTTATAATGCCTTCAGCATCAGTTTGAGTGCCAATTTCATGAAATTATCACTGTTGGATATGTATTTTTTACTTTTTGTTGAATGGAGGAAAATTGGCTTTCTGAAATAGACAATTGAGCAGTTCAATTTAAAATGTTTTAAAAGTCCTAAACTAAAAAAAAAAAGTCCTACACTATGATATTTTTGAAGGGCCCAGTGGGGTGTCGTTACCTATATTATATGTATATGCACATGTGTACATGTAAATGTGAAAAGGTAAAGGGTCTTTTTTAGATACTCTACATACATTGTAAGGTTTTTGAGCTAATCTTTCTGAACATCAGTGTACTCTTTTGGAAAGAGAGAATAATAATTCTTTTCTTGCTGAATTTGAGCTGTTTATAAAAGTACTTTATAAAGTACTAAGTCATGTGTATATCTTGGTGGGTTTGTGTCTTTAAAAACATGTTTTCAGTAATAGTGATTGAACCTTTGGATTTTTATGATATTGTACTTCAGTAAACCAGTGAGGGTCACTGTGAGATTATATAATTTATTGGTTTTTCTGTGGCCTGAATATCCAAAGCATTAAGCTCTTTAGAAAAATAACTGCTCTTAATCACTAACACTTGTTGAATATAGTTTGGTTTGAGTTTTAAAAGGACTTTTAGTTTGCACTAGTTAAACTTCCTTTTTACATTGAATTAAACCGTATAGTAACATGTAGTTTAATCCCTTAATTGTAAAGTAATAAGGGACTTAGATGACAGGTTTATGAGTGTAACAGCTGAAATGAACTACTCTTCCTATTGATATTTTGTTCCTGTCTAGATGTCATAATGCAGCTTTATTAATTGGGATTATAAATCAGTAAAAATACTGGGCATGGTGGTACACCCCTGTAATCCCAGCACTTGGGAGGTTGAGGCAAAAGGTTCACTACAAGTTCAAGGCCAGCCTGGGGTACATAGTGAGTTCAAGGCCAGCCTGAACTATGCAGCGACTCTGTCTCAAAAAAATCCATAAGTAAACCAGTGAAAGTGTTGTTTTGGGGGTTTTTTAAGAAAGTTATAATTCATTCTTTGGATGTACGTGAGATATCTAGTATCACAAAATTTTGCTAAGGTTCGTTGCCTACCTCACTCTGATTAGTAGATAAGGTGATGCATATAAAATTTTCATCAGAGCCAGGCATTTAGCTCAGTGGCACCACACGTGCCTCACAAGTGTAAGGTCCTGAGTTCAATCCCCGGTACCAATAAATAAATAAATAAATAAATAAATAAATAAAATGAAATTTTCATCAATGGATGTGCCTCATTAGGGAATTTTTAACAGATATAAATGAAGTGTACAAGTATATCAGTTTTAGCTCATATTTTCTATATTAATAGTTCTGTTACCTTTTTGTAATAGATGATGCAAGCTGAATATAAATAGTATCTGCAATTCCATCCAGAACATGAATGATGCCATCTTACCGGTCTCCAGAGAGATTATATATAATAAATGTCCTCTTTCTCTTAGCTGTCTCTTGTTTAGTAGGCACTACTGAAAAGGATGTTTGGTGCTAGGTATGATGGCATACTCCTTTAATCCCAACACTCTGGAAGGCTGAGGTGAAAGGATCACAAATTCAAGCCCAGCCTGGGCAACTTAGCAACTTAGTGAAACTCTGTCTCTAAAATTTTTTAAAAATTTTCAAAAGGTCTGAGCATGTAGCTCAGTGTGAAGACCCTGGGTTCAATCCCCAGTACCACAAGAAAAAATAGACATCCTCAGTACCCCCAACTTTTCCTTTATTATCCCATCAAATACTTACTGAACACCTACTATATACCAGGATTTATTCTAAACACCATGTGACAAAATATAATCTCTGACCTAAGAGATCTTATATTCTAAATATTCTGGTGATGAGGAAACAGATGATAAACAAGTAAGAAAAATATGTGAGCAGAGGTCAGAGAGTGAGCTGGGCCTTGCAAGCAGAAAAGATAGGGAATGAGTGGCCTTGATGCTATAATTTTTTTATTGTGTTTGAAGAATAACAAAGAAAGCATTGCTGGAATGGAGAGACTGAAAGAAAAATAGATGAGGTCAACAGGGAAACTTGAGCCTATTATGAAGGTCTTGTAGGCCATGGACATCAACTTCTAGAAGAAGCCATTGGAGAGTTTTGAGCTAGGAGCTTAAGATCTGATTTTTATTTTTAACAGTATCATTCTGACTGCTCTGATTATAGATTAAAGTGGGAAAGAGATAAAATGGGAGAAATTAATCAAGAGGTGGTTACAGTAATCCTGAAATAATAAAATGGGTAGAACAGATTTGCAAGAAAATATCAACAATTTTCTTTTTTTCATATGTTGACTTTAAGATGCCTATTACAAACCAAATGCCAAGAAGTCAGTGAATATAGATAGAAAAGAAAAAGGTTCAAAAACTGATCATCAGAGCCCTCCAAGATTTATTAAAGACAGAGAAAGGACTGCCCAAAGCAGCTAAGAAAAAGCTACTAGAGAAGCAGGAAGAAATTCAAGGTTGTGGGATATCCAGTGGAAAAGAAGGTGAAAATTAAAAATACAAACTAGAAGGCCCATTGGATTTAGCTAGGTAGAGATCATTGGTAATATTGAATAGTTTTGGTGATATGAGGGGTGACAGTGACTAGTCCAGGGAATGGAAGACAGCACGTACAGGCAACTCCTTGTTCTAAAATACTTGACTATTAGAATGTTGCCAGCTTCATCACACTTCATCCCTAAAAAACCACTTCTGAGAGTAAATTCCAAAAGGAAAGACATTCTTTCATAGTAAGTGCACAATGCCATTATCACGCTAAGGAAATTTAGTATTAATAATCAAATTTCTTACTCATAGTCGTCTTTGTAGTTCTTACCTGATCCAAAATCTAGTAATTTTTAAAGTGTACACAATAATTAACTAATAGAATCCCACAATCTGCTATTGGTTTTTCTTTATAATTCATGTAAAAGTTCTTGATAAGAATCCTCCATATATATGGGTATGTGTATTGTGTATTATAGGAGATATGTATATATAGATATATATATATATGCAAGAAAAGGGAGAATTGAATAGACTGAAAGATAAATGCAAGTGGTGATTATAATGATAGACCATGTCTGTGTTGAGTTAGGGAAACGAGGGTACATGGAAGGTAAAGGAAGATGAAATAAAAGGTAAGAATTATGGATTC